AAAATTAAAATATAGATAAACAAACTAGTTAGTAGAAAATCACAATAATAATGATAGCTCACAGATTGTAAACTATTGAAACAGCACAAAATGTTATTTACATTGGTAAGGAAAAAGATACTATTGAGCAGACTATAATACATGCTGAGAAGGGATCTAAAGAATATGATGAAGTCATAAAAACTATTAATAAATCAGAATTCAGTGTGGTGGATTTAAATAAAAATATACAGCTAATTTAAATAAAAGATCAGTAAAAAATTATTGGTCCAAACAAAGTAGATAAAAAAGTTCTAATTGAAGATAATAACTACATTCCAATGTTAAATGATATCAATGATCAAGATTCTTTAATTGATGATAATACAATATCTTAGAAAGAAAAAGAGGAAATAAAGTAGGTTTAGGAAATTCAATCAGAAATAAATGAACATAGTACTTTTGGGACTATTATGAAATTTTATGGCCCTAAGCATTTAATTGCTCTCTCATTCGTAACAAGTTTCATCAATGCTTTTACTTATCCAGTTAATGGTTTGATATTTGCCAAAGTACTCTTTGTTCTAATTGATAATAAGTATAATCCTAACTTTACTCATGATAGAAATTTTTGGTGCGCTGCCTATACACTTCTTGCTTTAAGCACTGGTATTTTTGATTTTTTAAACAAGGGAATACATAAACATCTTAGTGAAAATCTTTCATACAATATCAGAGTGAAACTATATTAGACCATACTAAAGAAAAATTTTGCTTGGTTTGATAATAAAGAGAGAACTCCAGGAATTCTTGGAAATTACTTAGCTGAGGAAGTAAATAACTTAAATGGCTTAACAAGTGAGGCTATCAATAGTTTTATAGAGGCCATATTTTGTCTAGCAATAGGTATCTTTATAGCTTTTTTTTATTCTTGGAGACTTGCATTAATTGGGCTTGGTGCCTCTCCATTTGTGGTTATTGGAGGAATTGCATTATAATTAGTAATCTGGAATAGTGCTAAAAACTAAAATAAGGTAAATACCAAAGATAAAAAAAAGATAGATCCTTATGACCAGGCAAACAGTTTGATTTCAGAAGTATTGACTAATTATAAAACTGTGATAAGTTTAGGACCTAAAAATATCGAATTCATTATTGGAAAATATAATGATTTATTAAATGAACCAAAATAAGGTGCTATTTAGATCTCTCATTTCTCAGGGACAATGTATGGATACTCTCACAGCGTAAGATTCTTATTCTTATCCTTTATGTTTGCAATGATGGCAATGTATGTTGTACATTATCATGATGGACCTGAGGAATGTTTTATTGCTATTTACACAATCATGATGGCTGCTCTATAATCAGGAATGTTGGTATCTCATGTGCCATCACTAGATAAAGCTAAGTAAGCGGCTAAAAAAATAATGTCAATTCTCAATGAACAAAATACAGAATCATAGGGTCCTCTCACTTTAGAAAATAAATTTATAGAAAAAGGATTTATTGAATTTAAGAATGTTGGCTTCAAATATCCATCAAGATAGGATGCAATCCTTAATAATTTAAGTTTTAAAATACCAGACGGCATGAGAGTTGCTGTAGTAGGTCACTCTGGTAGTGGCAAGAGCACTATCGCTAATTTGATACTTAGAATGTATGATGTTGGAAGTGGTAAAATACTAATAAATGATCTAAATATCAATCAGTTCAATATGCAAAATCTAAGAAAGTAAATAGGCTATGTTATGTAAGAACCAGTCCTATTTGATATGAGCATCAAAGAAAACATTAAATATGGTAACTCGACTGCCACAGACATTGAAGTTAGACATGCAGCTGAACTAGCGAATGCATTAACTTTCATCGAGGATGAAAACCTTATGAAATCAATGAGCGAATCCGATGAAGTTCTTCCAATCGAAGTTGATATTTAAGACATTATTTCTAATGAAATTGTTGCTTAGAAATTCCCTTCTCTTTTCAATTAAATATAAAGAATGCAAAAAGAGGGCTAACTCAGTTAAAGCCAAATTTAGTTAATTAAAGAAATCTTAACAGTTGGAGATTAGTCAATAATTGATATAATTAGAACACGACAAGACATTATTGTTAAAACTATAGAAGAATATAAACCTGAATAAAATCAAAAAGACTTGGAGCTGTTTGTAAGAAAACTTGCCTGGAATGTTGAAGTTGCTGAAATAATGAGTTATTTAGAAAATATAAAAGACATTTCAGAGAAATATAGTGGCCTTATGCGTTTTTAATAATATATTAGCTAAATCAAGAATGCAATAATCAATAATTAAAACTAATTTGATCTAGAAACTGTTAAGGAATTCCTAAATTAATTAAAGACTAAGGATTTAACAACAGAGGTTTAGCTTAGTAATTTAATAATTGAAGAAAAAAATCAGCAAAGAATCTAAATGAAAAACTAGCTACTTAAATGCCAAATAAATTAGATATAACTCTGCAGAAAATCAATTGAAAATAATCAGTTCGAAAGTCTTCACAAAGGCTTTTACAAGAAATGTGGTGCCAAAGGATCTAAGCTATCTGGTGGGCAAAAACAAAGAATTGCGATTGCCAGGGCTCTGATTAAAGATCCCAAGATATTGATTTTAGATGAAGCTACCTCTGCTCTTGATGAACAGTCCTAGGAATAAGTCTAAAAGGCTCTTGATACAGCTATGGAAGGTAGAACATGCATTTTTATTGCTCATAGATTGAGCACTATTTAAAACTGCTAATGGATTTTTGTAATGAATAAAGGCGAAATTGTGGAATAAGGTACTTTTAAAGAACTCTCAGAAAATGACTAGTCATATTTTAATAAGCTTAAATCAGGTATGGAATCTTGATATCTTTGAAATAGATATTATATTTAAGATTTCATGATAGTTTTATTATAAAATCAATTGATATTATTTTAAAATAAAATGCAAAATTTTTAATCATATTTTTTGTAAATTCAATGCTTAATTCTCTTCAAGGGGTTTTGGGGTTTTGGGG